CTTACAAATAACAATTAATACATTTTTTAAAAAAGAAATCATAGAGTAAAAAATTTGTTGTATGCGACATCTATCGGAATTTTTATGGTAACTCACTCGATTGTTTCTTCTGCCTCCGCCATCTTGGCGCGTTCGAATAATCCGAATAAGTCGTGTCCGTACCTAATAATTGTTTTAGTTTTTCATCGTCTTTTGCTTCTTTTGAATTCATTTTTCTTCCGTTCTGGAAAATTAAGAAGAGTAAGTAAGTAAAAATAACATTTAATAGTTTAATAATTTTTAAAAAACTCGATTTAAAAAGTTTTTGAAATTCGTTATGAAATTCATGTTCGTTTTATATTATGTTATGTCATACCATATCGTTTGTGTCGTTCGATGCGTGAATTTTCGTTCTTGATTTTTCACGATTTATTTTTTTTATATGTTGTAAAACTCGATCTCTCGTCGTACGAAATTCTAATGCAAATTCCGATACGATTTTAAATATTTCGTGGGGTCTCGTAGTTGATATTCTATTGAGTGGAACTCCCAACCAGTAAGCAAATTTATTAAACCTGTTCATTATTTTTTTATGAACTTTTCCTAATATTATTATTCTTTCTGCACAATCCGCCAAAAAGTCTGACATCCTTACAATCAGAAACAAAAAATCAATCAATTAACGGAAAATGGTGGAGGGATGCTTTTTGTATGCATAAAATGGTGGAGGAATAGAGTTTGTACACATAAAATGGTGGGGAGATAGTTTATGTACACATAAAATGGTGGGGAGATAGTTTTTTTATACATAAAATGGGGGGGGATGCTTTTTGTATGCATAAAATGGTGGGGGATGCTTTTTGTATGCATAAAATGGTGGGGGATGCTTTTTGTATACATAAAATGGTGGGGGAATGCTTTTGGTATACATAAAATGGTGGGGGGATGCTTTATGTACACATAAAATGGTGGGGGGATGCTTTATGTACACATAAAATGGTGGGGGAATGCTTTTTGTACACATAAAATGGTGGGGGAATGCTTTTGGTATACATAAAATGGTGGGGGGATGCTTTATGTACACATAAAATGGTGCGGGGATGCTTTATGTACACATAAAATGGTGGGGGAATGCTTTTTGTATACATAAAATGGTGGGGGAATGCTTTTTGTATACATAAAATGGTGGGGGGATGCTTTTTTTATACATAAAATGGTGAGGGGATGCTTTATGTACACATAAAATGATGGTCGAAAACTTACTTCACTTTCATTGCCGTATGTCCTTCGTGTTTTGCTATCATTTTAAGGTAACTCCACGATAACTTACAGTCTTCTTCGAGTTTTTTTATATTCAATGCAATTTCGTCAAAATCGACTTTCGATGCTCTCGTCACTGCTCCTATCTATAACAGATTAAATCATTATTATTAATAATTACAATAAGAGTTTGTCAAACCAACAAAATTATCATTACTTCCGAGTAAAGATCCGTCGAGTCTGGAAATTTCTCCATAACGATTATGCACAAATGATGAAGTAAAGAATGCTTGTGTACGGTGTCTTTAACTTCTGGTACTTTCGATAGGTACTCGATTTGAAAACCTTTAACGTCGTAACCGTTGAGAAAGTTTCCGATGGATAATAGTGTGCTCAATATTCCACGGAATGTTTTATTTGTTCTTAATATTTCCATTCCCTGTTTTAAATCCATGAGAGGCTCGCATATTTCCTAAAAGACAACAAAAATTGAATATCGAATCTCGATTATGTAAAGAGTGTTAAAATGTCGACAAAAAAAAAACCTTTTCGCTTATTTCAAAATCTAGTTTGAAAGCCCATAAACGAAGTCTTGCTTCCAATTGACTTATGGATGCCAAAGTGAGTAGAAATTGTTCGGCGGATCCCAAGGGTATGTCCGGATTTAAATTTTGTGCTTCTTGTATTCTAATCCTTTCCTCTTCGGTTGGTAACATTGTTAAAACTTTTTCTATGCCTTCTTTGTTGACAACCGTGGAATCCATTTTTAATATGGCAGTCTTTATGGCACGTGGAGGTGGTAATTTTGTCATACCGATGTTAATAGCATTTGACCTTTTGGGATCCAAAACTATGATTTCTTTTGCATTATTCTGACCTGAACTTTTCTGTAAAAAAGGCAGAAAAATAATAGGTTAATGTTTGTTTTAAGGTTTAAGGTTTTGTTTAGGGATTACCTTCGAAGTGAGATCTTTAGCTCTCGATTCGAATAAATGTTCTAATTTTTGCGTATCGACTTTAACGGGCGACAGTTCATCCCATATCGATCCTCCCACGTTTTGTCCTTTTGTTTTTAACATCGTTCCAAAATCATCTTTAACTTCTTTCCAAAATAATTTAACGGTTTTTTTATTTTTTAAAGTTTGAGGTGCCGGTGGGGGTGCGGGAGCTTTAACGTTATTCCTTACAAACGGTTGATTGTTTGTCGAAACGGGTGGTGCCGCGGGCATGTTCGTCGGCATCATCATCGCCGGTAATACGGGTAATATGAGCATGGGTGGGGGCGGCGGCGGTACATCTCCGTTCATTTTAAAACTTCCCAATATGTCGGTTTCGTCGTCGGAATTCAAATCCGTGAAATCCAAATCGCACAATCGTAGGGGACGATTTACGGATTCTGCAATTTCTTCCCAATAAAGATCAACTTCGGATTTCGGATCGATAATTATCGGTGACATTTCGCGGGAAGAACTTTTTTTCACGTCTAACTTGTTGAGATCATTTTTAGCCCTCGATACCAATCCCGCCAAACCGCCGGGATCGAGAATATTTTTATCATCGAACGGGCTAACCAGGCCATTTTGTTGCGCTACGTCTATCACGGAACATTCTCGAGAAATTTGTAAATTAAACTTCATGGGAGAATGTAAATCTGAAAACAATAATAATAATAATAATAATAATAATAATGAAGGAAACTAGGAAAAAGCTTTTCTTTTGTATAAAATAAACAACGTAAAAAATATAAAAAAAAAATAAAAATAGCTGTCAGCCATGTTTTGTCAAGCAAGTTGCCAGACATTAAATTTAATAAAATAGAATTTTAATTATTAACCCAAATTTATAAAAAAAAAAAAAAAAAAAAACATGGCGGAAATATATAAAAAAAAAAACCTTTACTTTTGACAATCACTTACCATTTTCGTTGAGAAAATTATTATTATTATTAATATTAATATTGTTATTCGTAAAATGATTATTATTCGGAATAGGGCTTGATAATTGATCGTAATTATTATTATTATTATTATTATCGGTTACATCGGTGCGAGAACCGCATAAACTATCTTTCGATTTTGTCTTTTGTTGACATGTTAAAAATTCTGACGATTTTGACGTTTCCTCATTCGGCCAACTATTTCCGTTTGTTAACGTGGACATAAGAGAGAAATTTTTTGACGTCGGCGATTTCGAACCTTGGAATTCAGGTACGGAAGTGTTTGGAACGGAGCGAACGCTTGGCATTCTAACAATAACGCCATCAGGAACTCTATCATTATTATTATCTAACCACCAAGGTTTTTCACCGGAGCTTATCCTATGAAATTTTGACTTTTGAGTCGACGGATTATTCGATTTCGCATATAAATTCGATCTCGATTGACTTTGTCTTAGTGCGTGGGGAATATTTTGCAAAAAATTGGATATGCTTTTTTTTGCCGCCATCATGGGCGTACATGACGTTGTTTGATTGTCGGATTCGTCACTTGAACTTTCTTCTTCTTCTTCCGACGATTCGCTCGCTGATGACACGTCAATAGCATGCATGTCCGAACAATTGACTATATTTATGGGCGGTGGGTGATTTTCGTTGATGACTTTGTTAACACTCATAACTGGTTCCGTGTGTGTTATTTTACATTGCAAAGGAGTCGCAATCGGGGATTTCGGGGATGTCGGACTTTTGCTCTGCAAATCTGTTTTTGACGAATTGTTATCAGTCATAAATGATGATGAACGAAAGCTCGACGGCGGCGACCTTCTCACGGTCAATTTCGAATCCGGATCTCTTATAAAAGATCCCGTGGGA